CAGGAAGAAGTAACAATAGAATAACTCAATCAGTTACATTCTTACCAGTTGAAATGAGTTATAAATCAGTACACAGATATTTTCTAGCTGGTCTAGAAGAAGATAGCAAATTGAAATCTTTGAAGTATGATGTCTTCTAAGGATACCGGCTGCAACTTTTGATGATGGTTGCTACCATCTTTGCATCATATAAAAATGATTGCAACCACTGGTTGCAACCACCTTTACAACCATTTTGTTTCCTTTTTTGGATTGCGACATGGAACACTAATGTCTTCAGAAAATTATGACATCAATTGACACCAGAGATTCAAACTATGAGTCCAAGAACTGACTTGTGTGATACTTGTCAACATTTCAGAAATGGCTTACATTATAATGCTCACCAAGAGGAAGAAGCCAAAGATTTACTTATAAAATTTAAAGAGCATCTGTCCAAGGCAGTGTTGTGACCTGAAACTCTGAGTTTAGGGAAAACTAAAAACAGAAACTAACAGTAACCACCCGAAACTAGTTTAGTTAGTATTTTATGTTTATGTTTATGTTTAGTTTTAGTTTTCTGCTAAGTGTAAGTTCATTTTCCGAAATGTTTCGGGAAGCCAAAAGAGTTTCTGGTCACAACACTGGTCCAAGGCCAAACTGGAAAGAAATTATTATAATAAAAATACCAAATTAGCAGAAGAACAAAGAAAACCAATTGATCAACATTATTCAAAGGGTAAAACGCCATATTGCAGCATTGATGCTACTGCTTATTATAGTTATGATTGAGCCCAAAAATGTTCATGTGCCTCATTTAGATCAACAGGTAAGTAAAATTTGTTACCTTAGTCCATGTAAAGTTCATTTATTTGGTATTCAAGATGAAGCAGTAAGGAAGCAAATTAATTATGTTCTTAATGAAGATGAAATTATAGGAAAAGAATCCAATAGAACTCTTAGTATGATTTTTGATGGAATTAAGAAATTGAAGATTACTTGTGACAATGCTGGGGGGACAAAATAAAAATAATGTAACAATTTGATTTTATTTATATTTGGTAATTTGTGGTAATTACAAAAGCATTGAATTAAATTTCATGGTTCCAGGACACACCAATTCAAATGTGATGGTAGTTTTGAATTGATTAAAAAACTCTATAGGAAAACAAGAATAGATTGTCTGGACCATGTGGTTGAGGCAATAAAAAAAGCTCAGTGTTATGAAGGTAGAAAAGGCTTTCAATACTTAGATATTAAAGCTATTTTGGGAATTTTTTTTAAGAAACTAAATGGTTTACAAAAGTATCAACATTTTCTTTTTGAAGCATCTAATCTTGGTGTAGTCAAAACTCAGGAAGTGGCTAATGGAACTTTTACTAAATTCAATTTATTAAGAATATCTTTATCATAATATTCATCCATTTGTTAGAGATAAATTCAAAGATATTACTTGCCCAAGACCAATCTATACCTAAGGTTGTGGGCGAAACCTCTTAATGACTGTCGAAACTCTGTCGAAACTCTAATGAACAATTAATGTGTAACCTGTCGAAACTCTGATGATTGGCGAAAACCCCAAATGCGAAACTCTGCCGAAACTCTAATAAACAATTAATATGTAACCTGTCGAAACTCTGTCAATTGATTTCTGGAGGAGTTTCTCCCACAACCTTATCTATACCAGAAGTGAATAAAACATTTAGAATAAAATCACTTCGCCACTTGTTAATTTGTCCCCTTACCATCATTAAGTTTAATCTTTTGAGAAATATTTGTTAGCTTTTCCACTTTTAAAGTAAAAAAATACTAAAATAATTTATATACTTATACCCTCATAAAAAGGATATAAATTTATTAAAAGAATGAATAATAAATAATAACTAAACAAGAAAATCATGACAAACATAATAAATGAACTTGAACAGAAAAATAAACAACTATTAAAAGAAATCAGTGATATCAACAAAAAAAGAGAACAAGAAATTGAAAATTTAAAACTAAAAATTTGACACCTTACTGGTCAACCTGATGAAAGTAGTTATGTCCCTGGTCATTGATGATATAAGAAACTAAACAAAAAGTGATTAGAATGAGGTAAATTAAGAAGGGCAATAAATCCTAATGAAACAAGAAATTGAGCCAAAAAATTGTAAAAGAATTTGATTTGATAATATTACTATTGAAGAAATGTTAGAGGAGTTTATTGATAGTTCAAAAGAATTAGCTACAAGTTGTTCTAGTTATATTTCAGATTGAAGTAAAAGAGGTTATCAGTTTACTGAACAAAAGAGAGAGTATGAAAAGAAAATTGTAGAATTGAATAAGTATAAAGAGCCAGTTGAAGATTTAGAAAAAAAAGCTTACAGAAATTTTGTTAGTTTGACATACAATAAAAAGGAAATAAGCGTGAATCAATGTATATTAGTTGACAGCACCGAATTATTGTGAATTGTAACTAACTGACAAGAGTAGCCCAAAAGTTGTGCCATACTCAGCCATACTTGGCATCAACAAAAAGGGCTGCCTTGAATTATGTATGGGGAGTGCTGCAACAAAACCAGACAAAGTGAATATTTGTATTACTAGAATTACAGGGATCAAAATTTAGTAATGTGATTATTATAATATATTTTCGGTGACAAATTTCATAAGCGATTGACAAAAAAAACGGCAGAAAAAAACAGTAAACTACACGATTATATATTTATTATATATTTTAAATTTTCAATTGTTTTGTTAGAAATAACAACATTATCTTTTGTTTATTTGTTTATCTGTTTTAGTTGATCAATAAATCTCAGGTCTCAAGATAATTTATCTTATCCATTTTTAGTAATTATAAATAATTTAAACATAATTATTTTAGTTGAGGTTTTTTATTTTCTCTTTTATATAAATTATTGAATATATATTTCTGATATTTATTTTTCTTTTTTGCCCAATTTGCTTGTCAACACAGGACCAATTTCAATTAAAATAAATGAAAACCTACAAAGTGAATATGAAATTATAAAATTATATATATAGGGATAGGTGTATATGAAAAGTAATAATAAGTATAATGGTTCTAATGAATATGAAAAAGCAATTGATTTTTTAGAAAAAGGATGTAATTGTGGTTGTTCTTCAAGAATTTCTAAGGAAGAATTTGCAGAATTAAGGGAATCTTTTCAAGCTCTTTCTAAAGTAGAACAAGACATATTCTTAATGGCCCAACTTAAGGCAATGGATGGTGGATCAATAAGTACTAGTAGACACCTTAAAAGAAAACCAGATCTAATAAAAGAACTTTCTATCAATGGGATCACAATACACTCCTTTGTCAAGAAACTTATCTCAATATGTTAGGAATTGGTAGGACTTATTTTGAAAATATTAGAAATCATCTAATAAATAATGGTCTTCTACCAAGAATTCATGGTAATATTAAAAGAATGCCTCAATGGAAAACTAAAATGGTGATTGATAAAAATGTTGCAGAAATAGTAAAGAATTTTCTGGAAAATTATGTAGAAGTCCATGGATTACCAAGTCTAGGAAGAAATATCAATAGAATAACTCAATCAACTGTATTCTTACCAGCTGAAATGAGTTATAAATCAGTCCACAGAGATTTCCTAACTGGTTTAGAAATAGCAAATTTAAATCTTTAAAATATGATGCTTTCAGAAAATTATGACATCAATTGACACCAAAGATTCAAATTATGAGTCCAAGAACTGACTTGTGTGATACTTTTCAGCATTTTAGAGATGGTTTACATTATAATGCTTGCCAAGAGGAAGAAGCTAAAAATTTGCTCAAAAGATTTAAAGAACATCTATCCAAGGCTAAACTAGAAAGAAATTATTATAATAAAAATACCAAATTAGCAGAAGAACAAAGAAAACTAGTTAACCAAAATTATTCAAAGGGTAAAACACAATATTGCAGTATTAATGCTACTGCTCATTATAGTTATGATTGAGCCTAAAATGTTCATGTACCTCATTTAGATCAACAAGTAAGTAAAGTTTATTACCTTAGTCCATGTAAGGTTCATTTATTTGGTATTCAAGATGAAGCAGTAAGGGAGCAAATTAATTATGTTCTTAATGAAAATGAAATTATAGGAAAAGGACCAAATGGAACACTTAGTATGATTTTTGATGGAATTAAGAAATTGAACAAAGGTGAAAAGCATTTAAAGATTACTTGTGATAATGCTGGTGGACAGAATAAAAATAATGTAACAATTTGGTTCTATTTATATTTAGTAAT